AAGCTAGAACTTAAATGTGCAAAAACTCCTATAAGTACTACCTCTTTCGAGTAACCAGTGGGTTTCTGATCGAGAAAATTGGGCTGAAGAAATTAAACTCCACTGTACTTAGTCGTGATGTAATATTCCGTATTTTAGCCCTGGTCGCTCTTCTCGACGTGGTGCCAACGTTGGATTCCTGAAAAGCATATGAGAAAGTAATTCTCCATACAAAGTAAAGACAAATTAAGTTCAATATGACCTGATAAAAATAATCAGGAATCTTCCTTTCTTCATTTCATCAGTCCGTATCAGTTGCGTTAATGGAAATGAATGGCTGATTCTTCTTTATAATTAATGAGGATCACCACTGCCAAGCTTTGATGCTCATGCTCGTTTGCCTCGTATAATTTGCTACAAGTTTCTATATCCCTCTGTTATCTCTGTTACCTCATCGTCCCATCTCAGCCAAAGTCTTCCAAATGGGAGCTGTCGCCCCTGCATATCAATCCGTCACTGCTGAAGTCCAGCGGTTATTCATCAGCCGGGCGATGTAGCGCGACTGGAGCTGCACGCGGGGGACCTCGGAATATTTTGTTTTTGCATTCCATTCGATTCGATTTTGGTAAATTATTTCGTCTACTATTCACGCTCGTCTGACATCATCAACCCTATCTGAATTTGCTTTCAGATGATGTCTTTGTGAGGCTTGGACCACTCAGAGATTTCCTCATTGGGCTCTGGCATAGTAAAATCTTTTCCAGCGACCTCTCCTTCATATCAATAAAATATCTGTTCTTAGATCAGTTTTAATAGATGATTCTCTATGAATACATAAATTCATTAGTTTCTGAGCTCGACTTGCAGAGAACCATGTCCTCTCAGTAACGTCTCTCCTTCAAAAAATCAATATGACATCAGCGCTGAATAAAATCTATAAAATAATAATTTTTAGTATAGATCCTCTTCTCATTCATACTTTGTGGTCGCGAGGATAGCTGATTCAAGCAGCTTTTCTAATGGTCTCGGACGCCCACAAATCTGGAAAAATCAATAGGTTGGATTCCAAGGCATGACAATGTCGTATCCTTTAAATAATAAAGTCATCCAGTCAGCGGTCTGCCCATTTGTCGTATTCTAATTGACTTAGCAAAGAGAAGTCGCGCCTTGCGATTCTGTTCTGAGACATCCTGATCAAATTTCGAAATCATTGAACAGGACTTCAAAAGTGAATAAGATTCAG